AAAATGAAACGGAAGAGCAGATTCCGAGCTAATAGGTTCTCGCTTACTTGACACGACGATTTCAACGAGTCCCACACCATGTCTTGGGGAACCATTTCAGGCCGGTCTTTCTTTCTGTAAAATAGGGTACAGTACCTAAATTCAAGGGGTTTTCAGGCGCTAGGATCAAACCCTAACATCGCCGGTTCTTTGTATGCCATTTGCAAAAAAGTCTGACTTGCTAACTGTGGAGATTGTTGGTCAAGACTTACGTTCACATGCAGAGAAGATGATACCATTAACTTGGTGCATGTTTGAGAACAAACAGTGATGATATTGAGGTAACGACGTCTAACCTTAATTTGATTCATTCATTTTGATTTAATATGTTCGCTAATTTAATTTGTGAAAAGCATTGAAAGCGGAACGAATTCTCTTTCATTTTGTTTCGCATTCCGCGAGTATAACAGTGGAACCTATACGTCTGTGTCTATGGATAGTGGAATAATGAAATAACACGAGTGGATAGTGGAATCCAGAGAATGAGAGAAAGATAAGGCAGAAAAAAATGTTCGAAGATGACGTGACGTGATACCACCGACATTCTCATGGATCTAAACGCCGATTGTATTTCTGAAATGCGGATGATTTCTCGATGAGTATTTATTTCAAAAAGTGTTCGACGATTAAATGCTGGCTCCTTTTGCTTTTCGTGCGAGCATGTATTTTTCTGATTTTTAAATTCTCTCGTCGTGAAAGATTTTTTAAATTTAATATCAACACGATGGCATTTACATGAAGAGATCAACCCGATAACATTTACTGTATGAAGTTCGAAACAATTTCAGACAAATATTGCAAATCAAAGATAAAATAACAACCATCATGTCTCTACTGGGTGAATGCTGAACAACTCCTTTTCATGTTTTGAGATCGGCTTGTTTTAATTATGTTCCCAAATTGTCGGGCCACTCTCTACATTACAGTACAATTAAAAAATGAATACAGTACATGTAATCGTGTCTGGAAAATGTTGTTTGGAATATTGGTCTCCCTCCCTCTGCGTGTTTGGTCAAAAGGGTCAAAACCTTGCCTAAGCTTCAATAACCTTTATAAGGATTACAATATAAGATCTTGGATTCTTCGGTGCTTCGATCTCTGTAATTCCATGCTCTCAGACCGAATCTTCGGCCAGCAACGAAACGGCACCGAATTTCGCTGACGAGTCCGTCAATAATGTGAAATTGGCGCGGCATTGAGCAGGAAGCCCGATCCGAAACAAAGCGCCATTCCGCAATATCTGGGCGCTCTGTTTACTGCGCTATTTTTGAGATCTCCCGAGAATTTGCTCAAAACGCCGTCACATGATTCGTTCAATCCGCCCGGAGCCCCCGTAGCAACTCATGCTGGTGGCACCCAACTTCCTCAATTCCGACAGGTTGCACGGATTGCTGAATCCGCTTGTTCTCGGGCCGTTGGCGAATTTGTGTGCCGCACTTGTTATAGGAAGCATGCGGAATTCCTTGCATTCGTGTAAGTCCGGGTTCCCACGCGCGCANACGGAAGAGCAGATTCCGAGCTAATAGGTTCTCGCTTACTTGACACGACGATTTCAACGAGTCCCACACCATGTCTTGGGGAACCATTTCAGGCCGGTCTTTCTTTCTGTAAAATAGGGTACAGTACTTTAATTCAATGGGTTTTCAGGCGCTAGGATCAAACCCTAACATCGCCGGTTCTTTGTATGCCATTTGCAAAAAAGTCTGACTTGCTAACTGTGGAGATTGTTGGTCAAGACTTACGTTCACATGCAGAGACTAATTAACTTGGTGCATGTTTGAGAACAAACAGTGAGGATATTGAGGTAACGACGTTTAACCTCAATTTGATTTATTCATTTTGATTTAATATGTTCGCTAATTTAATTTGTGAAAAGCATTGAAACCGGAACGAATGCTCTTTCATTTTGTTTCGCATTCCGCGAGTATAACAGTGGAACCTATACGTCTGTGTCTATGGATAGTGGAATAATGAAATAACACGAGTGGATAGTGGAATCCAGAGAATGAGAGAAAAATAAGGCAGAAAAAATGTTCGAAGATGACGTGACGTGATACCACCGACATTCTCATGGATCTAAACGCCCATTGTATTTCTTAAATGCGGATGATTTCTCGATGAATTTGTATTTAAAAAAGTGTTCGACGATTAAATGCTGGCTCCTTTTGCTTTCCGTGCGAGCATGTGCAATATTTTTCTGATTTTTAAATTCTCTCGCCGTGAAAGATTTTTAAAATGTACTATCAACACGATGGCATTTACATGAAGAGATCAACCCGATAACATTTACGGTATGAATTTCGAATCAATTTCAGACAAATATTGCAAATCAAAGATAAAATAACAACCATCATGTCGCTACTGGGTGAATGCTGAACAACTCCTTTTTATGTTTTGAGATCGGTTTGTTTTAATTATGTTCCCAAATTGTCGGACCACTCTCTACATTACAGTACAATTAAAAAATGAATACAGTACATGTAATCGTGTCTGGAAAATGTTGTTTGGAATATTGGTCTCTCTCCCTCTGCGTGTTTGGTCAAAAGGGTCAAAACCTTGCCTAAGCTTCAATAACCTTTATAAGGATTACAATATAAGATCTTGGATTCTTCGGTGCTTCGATCTCTGAAATTTCATGCTCTCAGACCGAATCTTCGGCCAGCAACGAAACGGCACCGAATTTCGCTGACGAGTCCGTCAATAATGTGAAATTGGCGCGGTATTGAGCGGGAAGCCCAATCCGAAACAAAGCGCCATTCCACAATATCTGGGCGCTCTGTTTACTGCGCTATTTTTTAGATCTCCCGAGAATTTGCTCAAAACGCCGTCACATGATTCGTTCAATCCGCCCGGAGCCCCCGTAGCAACTCATGCTGGTGGCACCCAACTTCCTCAATTCCGACAGGTTGCACGGATTGCTGAATCCGCTTGTTCTCGGGCCGTTGGCGAATTTGTGTGCCGCACTTGTTATAGGAAGCATGCGGAATTCCTTGCATTCGTGTAAGTCCGGGTTCCCACGCGCGCAGCCTCGGAATAACGTGCCTTTGTTGGGCTATTCTGTGAGCAAGATCTTTTGGCATTCAGTGCCGCATGAATCCAGTCATTCCCCGCCGACTCGTGGCTAAACAACATCAAAGGACTGAATTCTAAATAGAGAGCAGAAATTTCTCTCGCATTCCTCTTCCGTTGAAGAAAAGCACTCTCAATGATGAATTAATTCGTTCTCTTTTTTGTCATCGCGAGTCTTTTCTTCCCGCACGCACACAAGACGCGAGGCGTGGGCGGAAAAAGTTGCATTCATTTGACTTGACAATTGGCAGCATAAAAATATCGCGACGACGCACGGGGCATTTTTCTCTGGAGAGCATAGAAGTAATAAGTTTGAACGTGTCTTCAAACATCAAATTACGATATTTCAGTGTAAAACAGATGGACTATCGATAACGATTTTGTCTACAGCAATACTCCACAAAACAAATTATTTTTAGTCTCAACGGACCTTTATCGAAGTGTTTTTTTTTAACTTTATTGCAAATATTCTGGAAAGCAGTAATCTGAGAGTCTCCGATGCATAATGAATTATGTTTCTTTCTTCTGGGTGCTGTATTATATCGGAGAACGAGAGAATTAATTTCTATTCACTGTAAGGAATACTCATTTGTATTAGTTTAGTCACTTTTCCACGTACAGTATAGGTACAATATAAAGGCCTTACTTATCACGCATCTAGTGGATATGTGACATTATTTGCGTCAGCTTATCTCAATCTGAAAGAAAGCCTCTTTTTTTAACCTCCGCCCAGCATTCGGATAGAAATTAGCAACAATATTTCTTAAAGTTTCTAATTAAAAATGGATAGCTGCGTTATGCATCGGAGGAAAAATGGTTTAAAAAAAAAGTACGGTATATAAATGAAGGAAAAACTCCGTGGGATCAAATCCACTGCGCAACTGCACAGCATTACGGTTTTCATGATTTCAGTTAGAGAAAAATCGCAGTACAGTAATTTTTTCAGTGTTCATCTTCGTGAAGTTATCCAATAAGAGATAGAGTAGCGATTAAAAAAGTTGCTTGCAGTGAATGTGAAAATGTTTGCTGTTCGAAGCTGTGAATCCACGCTGCATAATAAAACAAATACTGTCTTACATATGCGAACATTGTTGCGTGGGCTGTATCGTTAGAAAATAGAAAACTGCAATTGAGTTCAGAGTGAATTTTCGAAAATCCTTCAACTAATAAAATAAGCTAGGTGCTCATTAAGTATTTCTTCGATTTTCCCAAGTGTTGAGCATAAACGCCGTACAGCACAACATACATTGCTACTCCTTCAATCGGATGATTTCCTAACAATTTTTTCATACTAACGTCGACACCTATTTATTTGAGGAAGATTTCAAAAACAAGGTTATAATTTTATTAACAGATGTCGCTGCAAATCCATTTGCTCCTTCCTCCTCGGATGACGCGTGGTTCACGTAGCGTTACTTCTGTTACATAAGGTGCCGCATGCCTTTTCATTGTTTCAAGTGCATCTTATTTTGCTTGACAATGCTTCGAAGATAACCTGTACAGTATTTGGTAAATGATTTGAACATGAATTTTACCCAAATGCAATGCATGAAAAGAATCAGTACAAGATTATTTTGCATTACTGTATGAGCAAAAGAAACTTCGTTTGCAGTGTTTGATAGGTCGAGCAATTTCTCTAGTACAGAACTGCATGTACTCATGATGCCCAATTTTAAATATTTCTCAAAAAAAGAAAATTCAGCTTCAGCTCTTGGGTCTTGGTGCCGTTTCTTTCGAAGTTCTAAATCGTGTCACCGCTTCTTGGTCACTATCGATGCTCAAATACGAGAAAACCTTTGCTTGCGTCTCGCGGTGGGGGTTATATTTTGACCCCGATGCAGCAACTCTATAATTTCAGGAAATTCACCAAAATTAATTTCGTACTCGTCAACCAACACCCGAAATTTCGTTCATTGACTTCGCCACGAAAATTTTCACGAACACTCAGCACATCATTCGAATCAACTTGCTGCATCATACTTGGGCTGAAGGAACCGAAGTTCATATTCTTTAAAATAAACTGCCTGAGTGGATCCAATGACACATCGTTGTATTTTTTTATTCAGTCAATGAGTTGTTCAGCCGTTTCCACATTATGAGTTTTCGCGAGTCCTTCTTCATGGTGCGTCCTCAATTACTTGTGGAAGAATGAATTTCATCCGGAAGCTCATTTGCATGCGTTGCCGAGTTCACCCAAATTTGAGCCTTGCATCATATGAGTAGCACAGAAATGAGGCAATTTTACGCCTTTCAGGAGCGTATCAGATAAAGGCTGCAAGGAAAGGGAGAAATTAAATTATTTAGAAATAATCAACTAAAGAATATGCAGAAGAAAAACAAGCAGAATTTGTCGTTTCGGCATGATTGGAAGTGCAAAACACACACAAGCGAACACACATATCCATATACTGGAAAAGATTTGATGGAAAAACCCCTAGAAAGAGATGCACAGAAGAACTGTACCTTATTTCGAAAAATAGGCGAGGGAAAATTAACTTATTCAGACTTTATTCCCAGGCCAATAGCTCCATTCTTCAAAATATTTTACAGTATATCGAAACTTTTAAAGCATGTTTTTCCCTTTAGAGTTTTTGCATATTGCCTATATTTTGAGATATTGTCCAGATGCTTGGTTACATTTTTTTCAAGTCTCTAAGGGTATAATTGACCACATGATAGGGCATCCATGTGTCGGGGCTCTGTACTGAAATTGCATCATATTTTTAAGCCTCTACTTCTCGTGCCCTTCCCATTGACTGATCAAGGAACATGGATGGAACGCAATGTGAGTCATATTTGATGTAAAAAAAAATAAAGTCCCTTAGAAAATTAGTTGTATACAAACTAGGCTTTCTGAAACTAAAAGGAATGTCTCATGAAATTGGGTGTTTTATATCTCCTGCTGGGCAAAAAATTATTTGCGGAGCATAGAGTAGAGTAGATGAACAAGTCAATAAAAATAAAGAAAAGAGATTCAATTTCTAGCTTTTTCTCTATTTACTGAGCTTACCACTATTGACTGATTCGAGATTAGTATTTAAATTTATAGAGAGTTTAATTCAAAACCTTCCTTTGATGATACCATCACTATGCTTAGTAAAATCATTAATTCAAATAGACTACTTATTCATTAAAAAATAGGTGATAGTTCACTGCGTTTGATTGACTCAGAAATACTGTATTCATGAATCTTGATTTTAATGCTGATTACGTGTGAAATTTTAAGAGCGAATGGCACACATTCTCAGTTTACAATCGAAAAAACTGGACAGTTGAAGAACCGTGCTTTTATTGACGCTCTTAGTTTAAATTTGTTCTGCTCCATAAAGCTATGATGTAGGAATCCACATTAATTTGCATAGGGCTCTACAGTTGCTGCTGCAGAAAAAATAATTCAAAAGAAATAAATTTAAAAAAACATATGATCAAGAACAAAGACCCATTTTTATTGAGCAAATATTAGGATCATAAATCCAAATTAAAAGAAAAATTGGATCGAAAATTTTGGAGAACGCCAGAACAAAATCCACATTAAGCTAAAGTAACCGTCCACTGGGTTCCAACAAATGAATGTATTTCGATCGGGCTCAACTTTTCAGAATTTTACTAATACTTCTGCTAAATTTTCAACAATGTACTACCCTACTTCTGCGGTGTAATTCATATTTTGCCTGGTTGAGCACAAAGCTGGATCAGGCACAATCTTACTGGTATTTTCCTGAAATCCTCCAAACATTCCATGGAACATGCTTTATCTCAAAGTTCTTTATCTGGGATTGGAAAGGATCGAGACGACTCATCATCTGACGCTTAACGTTCGCAAGTGTTGTCCCGGGTTGAACTTACCGTGAATCCCTCCACACATACTGTGCATGGTGAGATAAGGATGTACCATCCTGCACAGAATGAAGCCACCCAAAAGCCCAGGAATATCAACACCAGGAACCAAAGCAGCATATTCAGGCCATTCGCGCTTCCTTCCCCGCTTCCCGTACCTGCACCAGACATTTTATTTTCCCTGAGACCAACTTCCTGGCAAGAAAATATTCACTTTTTTCAATATGTGTAGGAAACCATTTCCATGAATCATAAGTTTGACATTTGGTCGATCTTTGAGGGGAAATTCCAACATACGCCGCGACGAAATTGTGACTCCATGTTTGAGAAGAGTTTGAGAAAATTATTTGTACTGTACTATCATTTAAAACTTTCTAACTCTGTAGCCACTTTAGTAAGCACCTTCACAACACTTGGACACCCTGGAATACACTCGTCCAACAAGATCAAAGGTATATCATCATTTTGCAAAGAGGATATGCGCACATGGTTTGGAAACTATGAAAAGTATATTGTTCTCCGACTGACTATAAAATTGAAAGGAGACAATACCCAACTATCACGTTGCCATTCCCGAGTTAAATTTTTCAACATGCATCCTATATGCAAGGCCAAAAAATGTAACACTACCCGGTGCATATCAATGAGAGCAGGCACTCATTTTATATAATTGAACAAGGAGGAGGGATATTTATGACTTTTCTATTTCTGTCGTTATAATACCTGGACACTTCCCCTCATGGACCTACTAAAACTGGACCTTCTGGGCTGTTAAAATATAGCATCACAACGAACACCCCAAGCGCTCAGGGAGTGTATTTAGTACAGTATCACAAGCGTGAAACCCTGACGAAACATTCAACCAAAACTGGGTGCGACTTTGTTTTGGCATGTGGCCCAACATGGTAATGGATCCCAAACATTTTCCCCATTCCTACGGGAACCTTTTTTTTATAGCCAGCCATGAAAGCAAGCTTTTCTGCAGCTAATGAGATACGTAAATGGACTTTGCCGAGCCACGCGCCAAAAAGAGAATTTTTTTTTACGATCAGCTATTACACACAACGCCTACAACTATTGTCAAGGAGATTACAACACTTGGCTGGGAGAAATGAATGGTATCGACGAATATCAGTATCGTAGTGAAAAACAAGAACCTGAAATCCTTCCTACGATCCGAGTGACCTTCCTCTTGCATGATGCAGTTATTCAATCCATGTACCAAACCGCATATAATTTTTTGATACCCGTAGGATCTTGTTATAATTGTAACGTACAAAAGACTTTTTTTTAGGTCCCATCCCAACGGTAACAATGTATTTTTAATATATTGGCAATGTATTTTTGTAGCAAATATTCTTCCTGGTCCCATCCACTGGCTTTGTTCATGAACAGATTGTGATGCATTTTACAAGAATACTGTGCAGAACAATCATTTGAAAACAAAATACAATTCTTGTTCCTGCATGTGACAGCTAAGTGGAAGTTTCCCTGTTGAAAATGCTGCGTAAACACGTGTATCCCTGATGAGACCACAGAAATTTTACTGAACCTTGAATAATTGTGTTAATACTGGATAGTCTGAGGTCGTCGGGGTTCGGCAAGGTTTCTTTTTATTAAATTTAGTGTCGTCACCCTAACAAAAACTCTGCATGAGGCTATGTGTAGAGGTGTCATTCAATACCAGTTTTATCCTCTTCCTATTTTTTCTTTGCATGTCCACAAGTCTGCAGCTGGGTTCTTCAGACCCATACGCAGAAAAGCACTTAAAAAAAAAAGCTGCTGTAGGGTGGTTGTACAGCCGTTTTTGGATAGGTTAAAAAAGTCATTGACACTCCTCACAATAATTGTAGAAAACTTCGAAGAAAAGATAACCTAGAAGTTGGTGTATTATAACTGCAGAAGCTGTGGATCCGGAAAACAACAGCGGGCGACTGCTCTCATCCTTGACTTGTTTCCCCTACACCCTAGATCTTTGAGTATATTTAGGTAATCTTCCTTTGTTGGGAACAAAAACAAATATAGATAGGAGGAGGAATAGATAAAAAGGAGGGAAAGAGACTGAAGTGAGGAACGCGTACATCCTGGGATAGTGCTCCACTTGGGTTTATGACATGCCGTAACGGAATAAAGCACGGTTCAGGAACAACATTTCCCCTATTCCTTTTGAGCTGCATTCTTTGTTCCTGCTATTTTGTTTCTCTTTTTATTCATGAATTGAGTATCTCAAAGATGCAATCTCAAATATGTGCATCAATAGCTTGCATGGTTAATCCAAATCATTCGTAAACCAGCATAATCGGAAGATACAGCTGAAATTATTTTTCCTCGCGCAAATCTGTTGGAGAGAGCGGGACAATAATTATTCCTGTTCATTTGTTTGTAAGAGGAAATGCTATCGCCAGGGAAACTATCTCGGATCGACGAGAACGTGACATAATTTGCCAGTTGCAAAGGAACAGCGCGGAGGTCGAAGTTCTTCGACTCTGAAAACTGTTCGAACCTTCAGCCAATGCCGACTTATTCTCCGTTGCCTTCGAAATGCGCGTGGGAATTCGTTTCTGTTGCTGTTTTTTCTGCGGGGAAAGGATTCCCAATGACGAGCGATGACGCTGTGGCGTGAACGGAAACGAATTCATGACGAAACGACGGGTCGGGACAGCTTTTGGCACGTTGTCAAAGGAATGCACATGGGAAGTCCGGGCGAAAAATAAAGACGGACATCAGCTTTTCCCCCGCTCGACTCTCGCGCGAGATGCAGCGGTTTTAATTGAATGAAATCCGAGTCGTGGCAGAAAGGAAGCGGTAAATGCAGGGAGCAAAGGAAAGCCCAGGCAGCGAAGAGGAACAGGCTCCTCTCCTCCATCCGCAAGCATCGTATTCTGCGTCTCGGCCCGACACCGCAGGAACAAAGGGAACTGGTTACACACGGCCCACCTGATATTTGCCACACATTTCCACTGTAAATAACACTGCAGTAGTGGAATAAAATGCTCATTTCAGATGATCTGACTGACAGGTCCTAACAGAGCAGGGCATTTCAAGTCCGTTGCATTTTTAATCCTTCGTGAAAATACAATAAAAATGGCGAAACGGCCACAATTCTCGCCAGAAGAGCCTTTGCCAGACCTTTTTTCACAAAATTTCTGGCATGAACCACAAAAAAAGTCACAAGACAACAAATGAAGAAAAACATTCCTTCGGTCAATGCGAAGCTCGTTATACTGTACCAGTGCAATTCCTAGGCACAGTTCTTCTGAATTCACCCCTTTTACGCATTTTACAGACCACACCCCGTTATGATTGTTGGCTGCAATTTAAGGTCATACTGCCTATAAGCTGCAAATATTTGTGATTTAAAAAAAATTTTTAATGTGGCCACAGGCAAAAGATGACGGATTCTCCTGGAATAATTTCAGTTGTTTGTGCACACTTCGTCATCTTCAGCATACTGCGCACACGTGGTACGGCCTATTCAGCTGCGCGTATACCATAACAGTCTATGGGATGCAAGCAACCAAATGGGGCCTATGAAGAATATATTCCAGGACAGGAAGGAACTAAGAATTTCAGTTTTCAGCCACATGCTTAGGAAGATAAATTGGTGGCCCGACCTATGATTCCGTAAATACAGCACGATGATTTTCCATCGGGGATATAGTGTTGCATAAACAACGGGACTGTATAGTCCTGTTATTTAGGATCTTTTTTTCGGATTGACAGAGAACATTTAATTTGCAACATTCCAGAATTATTCAACTATGCTCCAGCGTGCTCCGATGTTCTCATTCGAGTTCTATCATGAAGTGCGTGCAGTCCAACAATAACCACTCGTATTTCTTGAGCTTCTCTGTCTCTCATCCGCACAGACACATTAACATGCACTTCCTGCTTTCAGAAGAACTGTACTGTACAGTACTGCTGGGTTTGCGACGGTAAGCCTATTGCTGAGCTGGAAAATCCGCCTAAGCAATAATGAAGCAAATAATTTAATACAGCGTTTGTAATCCAGCCACGATTCTGAATTGGAGGAACCTTCCTTGGATATCCCATCAAATTACTGTATATTGGATACAAAAGGATCGACCAAATTACATGCTGGTCACCTTTTCTTAAAAACCTAAAATTTCGATTTACGGTATATTTCGATCCTGGTAATCCCATTAAAGTTTCAACTACGTGGTGTTTTCATAATTTTAGTTCAAACCAGCTTGCTGATAAAACGTTGATGAATGAGGTGACCATCTATGTCTCACCGTAAATCTTGATTGACAAATCTGCTGCGGACAAAATGTTAAATGTAGAAAGAAGATTCTTGGCCGGTGCAGTAATATTCTCCTTTGGCCTAGTTTGTAAAAAATACGGAAGATAAAATGTAAATCCATATTTAAAATGTATTTGGGTTTGTGATTTTCAACTGATCTGGAGTCTAGAAGCTTAAAATATGCAACACAATATAATAAAGCAAAGTAATGTGCATAAGTGAGACCCCAAGATGCGGACGTAAGTGGTGCATCAAGAGTGTCCCTAAGTCGAAATGTCCCCAAGTTGAGTCTTGTTTTCACATAGACTTACATTGCATAATTTTAATCGGTGAATTATGAAAGAAATATTAATCAAAATTCCTTTATAAAATGAGAAAAAAATGTCTGCTGATTGATAATGATTCAAGGAGTGTTTTTCAACTCAAGAATAACATTTAGTGTTAGGAGTGTTAGGGACATGAAACATTGACACAATGCACAATTTCTGTGCTACTGCTAAACGTTAAGATCCATAAATTCAGCAACTATCTTCTTCTCTTCCTTTCATCTCGTCCAGCTATGACATCTTCATGATTTCTTTTTTTAGTTCCACAGTTGGCACATCCCTGATTCTTTCAGATGTTTTTGTCTTCTTAGGTGACATTTTGCACTTTTTTATCTAGCCTTCTTGAAATGAACCTAAAAAATTAGCCCTTTGTCAAGCAAAAAGTTGAGAATAATATTTTTCAACAGTTTCTTAAGAAACATCCAGGGAAAAATACCCAGGTAAAAATGCTGTACCTCTACTCTGTACAGTATTGAGCATTGAGAATTTAGCATTTCCTGTAAAAATTAAATTGGCCAAAAAGAGAGAAGGAAATCCCTTCTCTCTTGAGAATCTCTATGCTTGAGGTAATTTTTTGATTAGCTAAATGGATCAGAAAATGATGACAGAATTCCCAAACAATTTTTATGCATAGATTTTACCATCATCCTATGGTTCTGAATATCTGTTTCTTGTAATTTGGCCTTAAAAAGTTGATTTTCCTAAAAGTTTAGTGTCCACAGGTTGAGTCAGTGTCCGCATGTCGGGCCTTTTTAATTTGAAAGAAAGCGCCCTTAAGTCGAATCGTCCTCATTTTGAGGTGTCCGCATGTGGGGGTCTCACTTTCGAAACTGCAATAAAAAAGAAATGACCATTTTTGTGTCCCTTTCCAGATGTAAAAAATGCATAGGTATGAGTATCTTCATAATTAAATGCTGCATCTTGATTTTGTCAGAAATTTGAGGCAATCAAGGGCTTAGGTCACAGAAGGTAAAAGCATTGTATGGAAACTGCTGCCGATAAAACTCGGATAAAACCGTTTATTTTCCTGAGGATGCGTGCATATGCTAACTTGATGCACTGCAATATTTCCTATACTTAATTTTTATCGCATTCAGCATTGGAATCTTCTAAGAGAATTTACATTGACGAAGAATCTGGCTCGAGCACAGGCAAAACAGGCTAATTCTCTGGGAAGAATTCCGGTTGTTTCTTCAAACTCTGGACCATTCGAAAAACTTTGGATTTAATTTTTATTTCAGCTCAAATTCATATCTCCAGCTTTGTTTTTTTACAGTTTCGAAGTATTGAACTCTGAAAAAATTCAAGATTTTCCGAAACTCTTTTTCCATGCCCTCATGAAAAATACGTCCGTGCCGTGCAGCAAATTCGTCGCAACTAAAATTGCCGCGGCAATATTTGTTGCGAAGGGAGACTTCGTGGGAATATGAAGATTTACGTGACTGCTTGTTTGATGGACGACATTCAGGCTCTTGCAAATAAGGGGGCGTTCTTCAATGAACGCACAGTACTCTCTCCCACACTCGCCTTTTCAAAAAGTGAACCATTAATCCGAGCTGTCCCATGAGAACCAGATCTTACAGTGTTCGTAAAATCCCAGAAAGTATGACGGCGAAGGTCTGAAAAATCGACAGGAGGAATAAGAGAGACAATGGTCCGTCGGCGAGGAGAAAGACACGGAATGACAGCGTCAGCTCCGGGAATGAGACACCGACGCCTCCAACAGGTCCCGTCGAAGCACCTGCTTTGTGTCCGCGGTGCAGTCCTCCTTTCCTTACGTCTCCGTCCTTCATTTGGCCCACCGTCGTCATTGACAGGGAGGAAGCAGAGAGGAAGGAAAAAAACACTGCAGGGTGAAGAATGTCGCGCTCGACGGCGACCCCTGGCACGGAGAAAACCCGCGGCGGCCGAAGGGCGGCTCAGTCCTTTCTCAAGAGCTACCGAGTGACCTGTGCCGCGCCCGGACCTTCGTCGAACCAGTGGAGTGCACTCATTGTTCGCTGCTGCTGTTTGTTTCTAAAACCTGCAACTTGAAAGCGTTCGTGGTCCCACTTGCTGTCGTTCAGTACACAAATGTGAGTTTGTATAGTGTCTCAGGCAGTAAGTGCGGATTTTGTAGCTCGAAGAGCCATTCCCAAATTTAAGAAGATCGAGGCATTCAAAACTAAACCCCTTCCGTTTTGATACTCAACTGTATTTGAATTTAGACTCCGTTTTTTTCTGACCGACGTACAAGTTGCATGACACGAGCTGACCCCCAAACTTCAAAATGATGTGAAAATTTTCAAGTTATATCTCGCTATTTAAATTTTAATGCTTTTGATTTTCGTTTTCATCACTCATAAGTGGTGTGTTGCGTTTTATGGATGGCTCGTGCGCATGAAAAATTCCAAGTTTATTAGACTCCTAAAAATTGGTCGAAATTTCGTTACAAGATTTGTTACATATGCATACATCATCCATTCCAAGCTGCATATGATGGAATTTGAAAATAAGCCCTTGGAAAATAGGAAAACACTGATTTTTTCGGTCATTTTTAGCGAAAATCGAATGAAGAGGATGGACGTAATTTGCACTTCTGCAGTACGATGATCACATACGAAACATACCTTCATTTCATCAATTGGATTCATTGCATGATGCCCTCAAAAATACTGCACAAATACTTTTACGGCAGTTTCATTTCCCTCGAGCCTGAAAAATTAGAATTTAGTCAATATCACGAATATTTGCGAATGAATGCATGCAGGAGAATCCCGAGGAGTTTCGTTTCCATGATCGAAATTATTCTTCTGATTGTTTCCCTGTTAATTCTGAAAATCTTCACCTTATCATCTTCCTTCTTAAATTTCCTCCATCGACTTTCAACTTTTGAAGAAACATGGTAGGGGTTAATTTTCATGTTTTGTTTAATAAAATACTCTTGCATAAGCAGTTCTTATTCAAGTGCTCAAGTCCGCATACTAACTCGATTTGAAACCTTTCATTTTTTACACTCCACAACTTTTGAAGTCGGTCGTGAGTGAATCGACCATGGAATCTAGAAAAATAACGCGGAAATGAAAAGTGGGACTATGCCAGGAAAGAAGTTCCCGCAAGATGAAGCATTTCGATGACAACAATAGGTCCAGTCTTTTGCGTACGCGAATGATTCAAAGGCGCGCCATTATTCTTGCGCTGGTTTCCTTCTGCTTCTATACTACGCAACATTAGCGGATGTTTACGAAAGAAGAAAAACTATTCCCTCCGACGTTTTGGCAATAAATAAAATAAGTTCGAAACCCTCATCCTATTGGCACTGCTGCTAAATTGGCTCGTCTGAAGGAAAACTCTCGGAAGAAATGCAGTTCGTGGGTGTTACAGTACATTGATAGACAGTGGAATTTCCCTGATATTACCCAAGCTTCAATCAACCGGTAATTCGACCAACCTCCCAAAACATCCTCAAACTCTTCTCCGGCATTCTTACAAATTATTTTACATTCGTTTCCTTGCATCAAACCAACGGACTTTTTGGAAGAGAGATACTGTACTGTACTTGAAAATATTTAATCTAACACTGTTTTGATTTTGTGTTGTTTAGTTACGCTGATTCAATTTACCCAACTTTCCGTATTACGTCGTATTCGTTCAGAAGAAACAGTGAAGCCTTCCCTCGATATTATGTTGCGAATGACGAATGTATTTTATCCTAATAGTCCCATCCGACTGTTACTTGAATTATTTTGACAGTGATCTGCAGTTGTCGCAGCCTTTATTCCGTTGACACGTCCAGCACGCATCCTAATTCAAAACCTTATTTTTGTTTCGTTTCTAACTGAAAATAAGACGCACCCTGAGGGATGGGAGGGAGAATAAGACCATGTTTATATTTTCAGGGAAATGGGATACGTACTTACTTGATTATTCGCAATTTTCTTTTTATAGAATGCAAGTTCCGCTGTATGCTCTCTGATTGTTCCTCGGAGTTCAGCGGTGGGATTTTTAAAATGTATTTACATTCATGGTTGGCGCTCTTTTTTTTTCTGAGAACTGAACCGGCGAGAGGCCTTTTTATCGGTTCCGTAATTCCCGCCTGTCAGTTGAATACTTCCCGGCCCATCATCGCTCAGGAAACGGTGTAAGCCTATGGATCTTCCGCATGCACCTCACCCGGGTGACAAATTGACATCTCCGAAAGAGCCCGTCTCTGCTGGCGGGTCCCATGAGCAGCACTTAGGCAGCTGCGCAGTATCCCGAAGCCGCGATGTGGGAAAATCATCCGTCGGGTTTGCGGTCAAACATTTCGCTCGCTAGTCTGCCAAAATGCCGCGGCGGGTTTCAGTACCCGTCCGAGCTTAGGTTTTCTTGTTCCCGATGCCAGCGCGGATGGACGTCACTATATCGTGCGTCTGTCAGAGGTCATCCCGCTACGCATGAAATTATAACTGTTGCCAGCTGCGCTGTCGACAGGAAATTTTTATTTCCGAAATTGCTCCTGGCTGATCTTTGCACTCGTTCTTTCGGGGTGTCTGTAGATACAATGAAAAGGGAAGTACAGTACATCAAAATGCGAACTCTACAGTGTACTTCACTTACTACTCCAGAGACCAAGAATTATTGATTATGCCGCTTTGACCAGAAACGAATTGAGCAGATTTACAAAATGCGATATCTTGAATGGTTTTCACAGTCACTTGTAACCTCAAATGAAAGCTCCTTTAACATTCTTTCGAATGATGTCAATAGTTTTATTATCCATTAGCATCATTATGACTATAGCGCGTGGACTGGAAAATAAAATCCTAGAAATACATATGCTTTCTAGAGAGTCGTAGGTAGCTACAAATGTCCTGAGAGTTACACGCACAGTACTCGAAGAGCCAGCCAGGCAGAACTTATTCGTGCTTCAGATTGATATTTCAGAGTTTCCAAATTTTGTTTCATCAAATGACAGCTTGGCAGAGAATATGATCATTTCGGTCGGTTTAAAATTCAGATTTCTTGTCCCCTTTCGGCTAATAACGCGCATAATGGGAAAACACACTTTTATTTTTGATAATACATTTAATTTATAGATTATTCATTTTGTATAAAAAATTTTTGATTATTCTGAATTAGTTTGATAAATCCGGATCATACAACTTTCATACCAAATATTTGAACTGAGAGGAAATCTTCTTTTACTTACGAGTTCACCTGCACATGCGACGCGTGCCGCGATTTTTACTCAAAAGAATTAAAACATAACGATTCACCTGGTGCTTTCACCAATATTTGCACTTATCTGCAACAAGCAACTTCTGCAGAACTTCGAGAGGGAAAATGTTCACATCCTACAAGTGTTAATCCAAATTACGCTATAGATTAAATGGGAAACCTGAACTCGTCGCATACACGAATAAATACAGTATTTTTAGCAGGGTAGCTCGACTAAGATTTGGAATACCTAACTGTAATCCCGTGATTTTACGGAATCTTTTTCACGCAGGTATTGTAAAATGCTTACTTTTTTGGAAAATCAAAGTAGAAAAGAGGGTGAAGTGGTCTGCAGCATAGAGGTATTTTGAAGAAAAAAAAATCATGAAACCAGTCGTGAGTACAATACCTGTACCTGATCTTATTAGGTGAAATTAATGAGCAGAACACTTTTTGTCACTAATCCTGTTAAAATTCTTCAATTGCTAGATTATTTTGCTACAAATAATTTTTTTTTTCAAAAAATGCAGCCAAAAAATTGGGGTACGGTTCTTTTGTGAAATATGTTTTTTGGTAAATCCCGTGCCAAAAAAATTAAGGTGCGCATCTTACTTGAGGGTGCACGGTATACAAAAGTAAATAATGTTTTTTGAGACTATGGAATACGCGCATCCAAATTCAGAGTAATATTTATCTTAGAAGTCATGGGACAATTTTCCCCTCGACGTGCCTTTTTTTTTTTGGTGACCCAGAATAGCGAAGTGTTTCAGTGTACAGTACTCAGCTTTTCAACAGAATTTTCAAAAACGAAACGCTCTCTTTGAACGGATGAAAGTCCCTGAAATATTTTCTACGACGCCTGGAAATACAGTACAGTACTGTATCTCAGTTTCTGCTTTGAGTTGCGCGATGAACACCCCATACTGAAGATATGCGTTCTCAGTTGAATCGCTGCCCAGAAATCTTCGCTGTTCCAGATGGTACTCCACTGTACTTCAACATTTTCGCAAGAGCAATAAATCACGGGAAGGTCTTGGTAATTCCAGGTATAGTTCGGAGGATATTTGCGTGGGGCAAAGGAATGAGGAAGACTTGCTGTGGTTTCTCGTGGATTATACAGCGACTTGTTGACTAAAGCTGACATCTATGCATTATTTGTTCACATTGAGCAATATTTGTTTTTGAATTTATCAGTTAGGGTGTTTGGTCATGCCTGTGCGGTATCTGTGAAAACACCGCATTTACGCAAATACGTAATGGCAGGAATTTTAGTAGCAACAAAACCCGAAGAAAATGAAAATTTTGGGAGAAAAGTGAGATGCCTGCGAGGACAAATATATTATATTCTTCTTGAAAGAATTGTTATTTTCAGAATGTTAAATAATCTCGAGGTTTATCAGCATATGCATGCGGCGTGACTTAAGCTCGAAAAATATGAGTACTGCACAGTACTCGCAAACTTGGACAAAACCTGCTTTGGGGTAGCTTATATCAATGAAATATTTGAGCACATGGGCCGGACCTGAACTGAATGTGCTCGAGTTACCCAAAAACGACTGGTATGCGGTCTATAACTCAAAATCTTCGAGCACGTGCCGAACCCGAGTTTTGAGCGGCCCATTTTGGCAGAAAAAGTTTGGCATTTAATCGTTAAAATATGCGGTAAGAATGCGGTGTAACCTGTGGTTTTTGGAATGCAAGCACAGTACGGGTGTATCGCGCATCTAGCTCGTTGCTCCCGAAGAGTAAACTAACAATCGTGAAATAATCGGACGCAGAAATAATATCGTAAGAAGAAACAACAAGGTGTTGACATCCCACGTTATCTCGAAACTCAAGTGGAACCCGAGAGTGGTGCGACGTCGGAGTCACGGCTTAAACCGTGTCGATGCTTTTTTTCGCCACTGACGCACGGGGCGAGGTTTTGCTCATTAACTATATTTCCGCGTCGTTGAGACGTGACGGGAAACGGGAAGAGAAAAGAGGTTGTCGTGTCAAGAGCACGAATGACCCGAGCCGGAGACACAGCTGGCCACGGTGGTAGCCGAGATCCGCTGCCAAGTCAAATTGCTGGGATAGCGAAGGGCCACAAAACCTTGCCTGGACGGGATGACAGCAGGCATCGATCTGTCAGCGAACCCACGACGCTATCACAATACCTTTTCCTTGACTTGGATTTTCCACGCTGCAACCATGAACTCTGTAATTTAAGGAAAAGAAAACTTGTACTATACTGTATAATGAATCCAACGTGTTTACTCTCACGTCCCATGCTCACCATGATTTTGATTGCTTATACTGTACAGTATTTACTGGAATATGCAAGGTGCAATTTTTCTCGATAAAATTATAGTCGAAAAACTCGGGGATCATCTTATATTTGGTACCGATAGCTCTTGCTTCAGATGATTTCTTGTATTTTAGAATGTTCAATATCTGACGACGTCTTTGATTCGCATATTCGAGGTGCATTATTATAATTTTTGGCCTACGAAATATTCCGTGCGAAAATAAGCTTATTAGGATTCAAGTGAACCAAATTTTACAATCTAGGTCTATTGAGTTAAATTGCGATTTCTGTCAGAAAGCGTTTGACGAAACTAAGCTTGCAAATAATGAAGCGTGTTTGGATTCGATACACCTTATCGATTCCGAAAAATTGAATGTGACGACGAAATTACCTCTCCGATGATTAGCAGGCAAATTTCTTTTAATTTTTCGAGTCTCAAGCGATTAGAGGTGCGTCGTATGACTGATGGAGTCTTGTATTTATTTGAGTAAATATAGTTTTTTTTAAATCGAGAAAACATTTTCATTGCAATTTATACAAATAGTTAGAGCATGATGATGCAAGCCTTTTTTCTTGTCATTTTTAAGGAGAATTTGTGCGTATTCCATTATTAATATTAGTACTGCGTAATGATTTGATGCAACTATAATACGTTTCACGCATAAAATTAAAATCTCATGTCCTGGCAAAAACGGTCAAGTTCGTCTGAAAGAGAAGCAAAAAAAATGTTGGCAAAAAGCTCGCGAAGTTTTTGCGGTGAGCATGTTATGCATCCCATCTTCGTTGGCTTCTCTGCCAATTTTTAAAGAGAATTCTTGACTTTCGAGACTTCTCTGAAGCAAATACTGGATTTCAGCGCAAGTTTATAGAATAGACCTTCACTGTTAAAATTACAGTTATAGCTCAAATAATGACATAGGGCAGACTTGAAAATAACGAGCCTAAATAACATAGCATCACTTTTTAACCCATCATTTAATGGGCCAGGTTCTTCAGTGATCAGCACATTTGCCAATTGATAAAATGTTTTGAAATTTCTGTACGCGGTACTCATTGGCTCTTTTAGAAGTGAAAAAATTGTATGAGCAATCACTTTTTTTCGCAACCCTCCAATCCTGAAGAATTGAAGGAATTCCGGCGATTTCATGCTCGAAGAATTCAGACGCGGATATAAAACCGATCTCCCCTGAAATATAAACTCACTAAAGCCCATGTATGGCATACTTAATAAAATGAATTTGAATTGTAATTAATGTGCAATATACAATATAAAAAATCACTCTAGAACAAACTCTCAGGCTGAACGGTTCTATGATGTTGTATTTTTAAAATATAAAATTTATCTGCATTTTAAATCGAAACAGTAAACATACCGCGTATGCAAATCGTGTTGTTCTGGTTTGAAGACAGGGCTCATTTCGAAGAAGAAATTCTTTTTATTAACTTGAAAGCAAGATGTTTAGACATTTTCTTATCTATCGGCTTATTCTGAAGTCAATTTTTTTTTCTCTTCTGTCGTATTCTCCTGTCGATAGCGACTTCTGTATATTTATAGTTTTATTTTAAACAAGGCTACTTCACATATACAGTATTATATTTTTTGCTGTCTTAAAATGCGTATACAGTACATAATGGATACGTTCGTTTATTTGCCATTGATTTTCATCATCAAATTTTCAAATGAGCCAGATAAGTTTGAAAGGCTAATTGTAGATACTTTCTAAGAATTGTCAAAATTCGTGCATTACAGTATAACTGTACAATATAATTTATTGGGCTTCCCATATTTTCGGTGCCACCGTAACCGAATGTCAATTTGTTTTTGAGAGGAAACAAAGCAGCCTGTATAATTTCAATTTTAGCCGCTTCTTTTCCCACACCCAAAATTGAATTTTCCTCTGAAATGTTATCATGCATGACTGAGAATGTACAATAGCTGATCATCCATGATACAGTATGTAATTATCTGAGCTGATTTGCAGTACTTTGATATTTGCATTTACTGTATTTCGGCAAAGTTCCTGGTCATCGTCAAATGGACGTTTTCATTTGCTGAATGTACATTTTTTAGATGTTCAATCAGCAGTCGATAAACCGTAGCATTTGATTATCTGGACAATACAGCCACTAGCCCGGATAATCGTGTTTCTCTGCGCGTTTCATCCAAATCGAACCGAGTGATCTTAAACTGTATACAATGATCCGTAGACAGATATTTAAACTGCAGTTTATTAAAAGAATGAATGTTCGATGTCTTTGAATCAACATTTAAAACGAAATTCCTAACTTTTCAGGGAAGGAACGACGCCGGAAGCAGCCACAGTTGTTCCGGGTGCGGCAGACCTGGAGCTACAACTGGATTCGGGATCGAGAAGACGAAGCAAATACAACGTCCACTGGAAACGCCCGAAAAGTCACCTGTATGAATATAACTTCGACTATGGTTCAAATTATTACAAGTCCATGATCAACTACATCGACGAACGCAACAAGTACGGATCAAATCCCGAGGTGCCGAAACCACAGTCCTGGGAGGAGCGCGCTTTGAAGTCATACCTGGAACGCGCCAAACGCGAGAAAGAGCTCAAGGGCAACACATATGATGCACAACTTATGACGAGCATTCGCAGAAGCAGTTCCATGTACTTCCAGCATACGAAGAATTACGCCCGAAGGCTAACCACACGCATCAATGTGGACGCCTTGCTCTGAAAACTGCGCCCGTTATTGTCAGCCGCGAATGCACCCGAGGGTGACGACCGTATATATGCATTCGACGCGATTCCCTCCTCTTGACCGTGCCAATACAAAACAAGCAAAAGGATCGTTTTGTCCAAGACTCCCACTCGAGATTTTGAAACGAATCAATAAAACAAATTGAAAAAATCGAACCACTTCAGTTATCCCCTCTGAACCAACGACAGCGTTTGATGAGATTATGTATCTCTTTGCTCTCATTCATCATCAATGACTCGCCTATATGGAAAGATGGGCATTCGACATGAAGTACGCTTGAGGGTGTCGAAGTGGTGCTTTGTTTTGCGTCCTGGTGTCCGCTGCGTGCTGTCGATTACCTTTGTCTGATTTCTTCCCGAAATATTTTCGACTAAATCATGTCTTACCACAATTAAATTTGAGGCAAGAAAGAAAAGTAGCTGCGTTCAGCCGATATTGTCTCAAAGAAAATTGTCTCATCGTCCAGAGCAGATTCTGAGTGTTATAGTCACCGATCTTGATGCAATAAATGCTGTCGAAAACGCTTTGATTGGATTCATCTTCATGCTGATTTCCGAATTATATTGCGGGCAGATTTCCCTAGACAGTTACACGCCAACCTGGACATCGGCCATTATATATTTTTTAACGGATTTTTAAATTTCAAAATCATTGAAAACCTCAAAATGCCATCCAACAACATTGCTGATCATCCACTCACGCCCTTCGATATACTGTACTACAGTAAATGTATTTTTATCATTATTATTTTTCGTCTTCGAGTACCCCATCCAAGCCACCAGCAATGTTCTATAGTCACTTGATCCAAACATGCTCTAATTTATTTTGTTCAATTTTCACCCTCACCCCCACTAACCAATTGCACTCACCATTTTCTGAACCAATAGAACCATTTTCCCATCCAAAAAAAATTCTGGGCTTGCCCGTTTGGTGAGACGATGGTGCGTTGTTTTGGGATTCAATTATGGTCTTGGAGAAGAGGGGAATTTCTTCCATCATACAAGTACTGAAAAAAGGAAAAAAATCAATTCAAATGATATTTTTCTATTTATTTGGATTCTTCTTATTGTGTGGCTTTTATTTGGTTGGCCAAGTGAAAATTTTGTTCAATTGTCAAAAACTGAGTGATTCGATTTGACGTATTTTGAAGTCGAATTCTTTTGTATGCACAGCACAGTATTTGATTGGATAAAAATTACATTGGGATTTCTAAAAAAATGCGTTGTACAAGTTTCAGAAATGAGTAATTTTATTTATTTAATTTTTAAAATGTTTCAAATGGCAAATAAAAATGCTTTAATACTTCTTGAGATCATTGTCTTTGGAGTGAATTCCTTCTCCAATTTTTTTTATTCAAACTTATGATGGAATTAAGAAGATAAAGTCATATGTATGATTTTCAATAATGCAAGAACCCTTGCTGAAGATTAAATTCTGGAACCCCTTTGTAAACGCAGAAACATTGAAAGGGCGATTATTGTTTACTTTTAAAGTTAAATATTTTCATTCTATTTTACATAGTGTGAACAGTATTGAACATAAAAAACACTAATTTATTGTATATATCTCGCATTCATCGTTCCTTAGCCTCATTTTTCATGAACCACTGAACACGTCGTCAATAATAAGTTTAATAACTGCCATATACCTAACCATGGAAAAATGTATGGTGTATCATCCAAGTTTAGTTTTATAGAGCAAGTGTGCACGCTTACCAGCAAAACTCCATCTTCCGGGACTACCGGCTTAAAAATCATCCAGTCAATTCAATTTCCCAGTACAGTACAGTACAGTAAATGCATTACAAATTTTGACATTACGTGGAAGCATACAACGGGAGAGCTCAACCTGAGCAACGGAACTAGTGCTTTGCCATGGGCTTGGATCTGCCATGGATGCCGCCAGTTGCTGGAATGCTTCAATAAGGATTTGAAGAGTAAAGGGACTTCTTTCACGAACACAGAGTCTATTTCTTCACAACAGTTTCACAGATGTCAGTAGGTCAACAGATTAAGACAAGTGTCTTCGTCAAGAGCTGAAGGCGAAGTGATGATCTTGTCTCTCTCCGTCCTTGCCTCCCCCAGTGGTCGCTCAGATGAGGAGATAGGACTGGGAGTTTGGGGTGGGAGACATTTACGTCTGGCCTTGCGCCAACAGGGTCTCCTAGATGTCGCTCTGTTGGGTAAGGGTAAGCCCTTACTCTCCCCCCCCTGGGAAAAAGAATTTGCCCCCAAATGAACCCGAGGGTCTGTTCTGCGAGGTGAGCCCTGTGGCCCTGCGTGGATGGAGGGGTGAACGTCCAAAGGCACAGATAATGCGGATTGGGTATTCGTTGATGGCACGCGAGATAGAACGTCAACAACATCGAGAGCACTGACCGCGGAACACGTATTTTTCGCTCGCGCATACGAATGATCACTGTTTTCCACAATCGTTGACTGCCCTGTTGTCGGATTGATAAGCCCGAGTTGTTTGTCGAAACTGGGGATGGGTGCCTGGGGAAGACCGTGGAACAGGACCATTTCCCAGGCGTTGACCCTCCGAATCTGCGGACCCGCGCCAACCCAGTATTCTCCGTTGCCCTGGTAACTGATGACTATAAAAGGGCCAAGTTTTTGGACTCGGAAACCTTGATTGGCCGCGTGCAGGTCTACAGTGGGTAAGCAAGGAAAAACAGCTATGAGATCTCCTGGTGAAAAATGATACAGTTTGCCCTTGTTCGCTTGATCAATGAATTTCGCCCGCTGTTGTTGCATGTGCTCCGGCAGCTGCTCGAGGCGCAGCTCGAGGTTTTGACGCTGAACGTTGTATTTTTTGTCCGCATCAAGAACTGTCGGTGTCAGAAACATTGCTTCAGAGGGTGTGACTCCCGTCGTGGAGTGCGGAGTCGTGTTGTAGGCACAAACAGAAGCATCCAAATGTTGAGCCCAGGTTGTCTCCTTCTCTTGTACTGCTTTAGATTGAATTTGCCCCAAAGTTTTGATGGCCCGTTCACAGCAGCCATTGCCCTCGGGGTGCGTCGCCTGTGCCACATGTTGTCGAATGTGGGCGCCCCGCAGGAAATGTCTGAAGGCCTTACTGCAAAAAACTGAATCTGCATCAGTATGAATAATCTCGAATTTGCCCATTTGTCTGCACAACTCTGATAAAAAAGGAACAACAGTTTCGGTATTAGCTGCACAGATTGGTTTTGCACACATGTATTTGCTAAAATGATCCATCGCGATGATGGCATACTTGAACCCTTCTGGTGACGTTGGGAGAGGCCCGTAAAAGTCCACAACCAAACGTTTGCGTGGACGTGTGCTCTCGATGGGTGACAGCATTGTACCTATGGTCTGTGTCGGGTGGTTAAAACGAAAACAGGTTGTGCAATTAATAATACGTTGCCAAATTTGTTGTCGCATTCCTGGCCATTGAAAACGATCCCAAAGCGCCAGGTACACCTTTTTCCACCCGGCGTGTGCTAGTTCGGAGTGGTAGGTGTCGATAATGGTTTCGCGTTCGTCGGGGTCCGGCGTAGGTCGGACGTCAACGGCATTCAAAGAAATTCGGCTTAGGGCGTCAGGGCCTTGAAGAAAACGGCCAGGTCTATGGACGATCTCCATGTTAAACCCGGCGAGTTTCGTGTACAGGCTGACTGCGCGTTTGGTCTGCAAGTCCCCAAGCAGGGCCTTATGATCTGTATTGACAATAAATTTTTTGTGAAGGAGATGATGCTTAAATTTTTTAGTAACACTCCAAACAACAGCTAAAAGTTCGCGTTCGGTATTAGTATATCTGGTTTCAGTGTCCGATAAAACTCGACTTGCGTATTCAATGACACGATCTTGCCCCCGCTTGTCGGTTTGAACGAGAACCGCACCCAGACTGACTGCTGATGCATCACAGTGAACTGAAAGAGGAAGGTTAGGGTCTATACGTTCTAACTTGGACGTTTTGGCGAGGCACGATTTAAGATGCTCGAATGCGTCGTGCGCCTGATCTGTCCACTGCAGCTTGGTTTCGGGCTTCTTGGGGATGATTGATCTCAGGGCTTTTTCGGAGTTGGCGAAATTTGTAGGCAGGTGGGCTCGCAGGTAAGTCGCCATCCCTAGGAATCGCTGCATCTGTCTGGTTGTGGCTGGCTTGGGATAGTTCCTGACGGCGTCGACATTCCTCTCTGCGGGTCTACTCCCTGTTTGATCAATAACATGCCCGAGAAAAACAGTTTGCCTGGCTAAAAAGGTAGATTTGGCTATATCAATGGCCGCTCCGGCCTCCTGTAAAGCTTGCAAGACATCCTTCAAATTAGCACACAAAATTTTGAATGATTCCCCAAAAACCAACACGTCGTCAACATAAGCAAGGCATTTTTTAAAAAGATGCGGATGCAGAATAGTGTTTATGGTCCGTTGAAACATCGCGGGGCCATTTTTTAGCCCAAAGGGCAGTACCTTGTACTGGACTTGCCCGTGTGGCGTCATGAAGGCGGTCTTAGGACGATCTTCTTGTGCCAGCGGGAGATGGTGATACGCGTCGTGCAAATCAAGACCACAAAAGTACTGGTTTTTGCGGCCGAGGGCGTCGATGAGTTCTTGGACAACGGGCATGGGGTAGTGATTGTCGATAACGAGCTTGTTGAGCTCCTTGTAGTTTTCAACGAGGCGGAAACGTTTGCAAACCGGCGAGTCCAGTGTAGCCCCCTTTTTGTCGACGAGAAACGCGGGTGCCTTGTAAGGGGAGGCGGCGGGTTCCAAGATACCTGCCTTGAGATATTGATCAATAATTTCGGCGAAGGGAGCGTTGCGCTCCACCGAGTGACAATATTGGCGCGTTGCAGGTGGCGGTGCTTCGATGGTGGGTATGCTGACGACGTAGTCCGTGAACAGGCCGCGTTTCCCCGACCATTGATGAATAACCGACGCGTGTGCACCTAAAATTTCCGCAACGCATGCGCGCTCCGCGGGAGTACCATCAACAAAAACGATGCCCTCGCCCACAGACAGTGTAGGTTTTGCGGGGGCTCGTGCGATTTCGCGAAACCCAGTGAACAGCCGTTGCCCATCCACAGTGATTGCAATTGGTAAATGCAGAAGGAGGGTTCGGCCAAAAATAAAATTGTAGTCGCGTAACTTAGGTAACACGAGAAAAACACCTTGATATTCAACCCCGTGAAAACAAAACGAAATCTGGGCGGTAAGTTTCACCACGATGGACTCAGACCCTAGGGCAGTCCCGATAACGGACTGAAAGGGGGAACAGGGGAGCTGGAGGGTTTGGACAAGCAACTCGGAAACGAAAGAATGAGAGGCACCTGTATCGAGGAGTCCGGTGAAGGTTTGGTCCCAAATGGAGACCTGAAGTACCACTGGCGAAGGTGCGGCGGAGAGAGGCGTGGAGGTGCAGTGAGCCGCATTCACTGACCCGTCTTCGCGTTTCCCGAGATCTGCGGGCATTCACGAAGCATATGACCGACTTTATGACAATGAAAACAAACAGGTCCAGTATTATCAGATTGTGACGAATGAGATTGGTTACTCGC